TTCACATAGCCTTGCTTTCCCAAAAGTTGTTCTCATCCAGGGTGGACTGCAGTTACGACCTCGCATCGGCTATGTAAAATTCAATGTAAAAGTCAGTTTAACTCATATCATTGTGGGAAAATTGTTCTTCTACCAGTCCTTGAAATTGGGTGAATATATCTCATAGATTGACTTTGTTAAGCTGTAACTTTATGGTAAAAATAAGGCCTTTCACTTACGATGCTTGCGAATCGTTTGGAAATGTACCAACTCAATGGTCCTAAACTGGAAGGACCAGAAGATAACCCTGACGCTCCGACCAAGTTGCGAAAGCGAGCTCGAACCAACACTATAAAACTAAAGTAGATTGCGACCAAGCAGAAAGCATCTTGGTCTTCGTATCTCAGTAGATCCGTTTGCCCTCCTAACCTCGACAGGCATTTCTCATCACACACACACACACACACACTCATATAGAAGTTGTTCAGTCATTTTTGTGTCCAACGTAATGGGGGTGAAACCAATTAAGGTGAAGAGTGGACAAGTGAATCTCGAAAGCTTCTTGTTCTCGAGGCATTAGAGGCAAGAGTAAGAGGCCTATTCGAAGCGTCTACAGTCTGAACTGGAAAAACCTGTCCATTTCGATGAGAGTCGCGATGTGAACATCTCGTCTTCCCCCTACGCTTGGGATTAGGCCGCAGCCTCCGCTGCACACCCTTTCGGCCAGCTTCACTTGACGACACTTGGATGCATTCAAGCTAGGTTCTGAGCTTCAAGTGCGCCTCATCGCCTCCGAGCCAACCTCTTGGCGTTTGGTCCCAGCTTACTCAGCCTCGTCTGCAGCATGGCTAGCCGATCGGCTGGAGTCCGCAACACCGTCCAGCACCTGATGCCCAGTTGCGGGGCCCCGAGATAGGCCTGTCATTTCAGTCTCCGCTCCCGGGAGGCCTGCCATGTGCAGGTTGTAGTTGCAGCAGCAGCAGCGACTTGAAGGCTCGAATGAAGATCCACTTAAGACAGCCTCAATTCGGTCCCAGCCCTTTTATCAGATCGGCTGAAAAGTCAGCATCGAGGGATATTCGGTCTCGAATACTTGACTCTTCGTGCAGGTGGCGACTAGCCATTGACGCTCCTCCATCTACGGCAGCCACCGCTCATCATGTGGCTTGACAAAGTGGATGGTGGTCAAGTAATAAGGCTCAGAACAACTAGACCTCCACTTCGTACTCCCCACTCTCTACCCACTCCCCACATACTCACCACACTCTTCCCACCCATTGC